AAATGAGTATAATGTTGAAAATATTTTGGTTAATGAACAAGGTAATCCTTATTTTGATACTAGTTTTTTACGCGCATTGCGCGATTGGGATAATGTCCAATGTTTCTTTAAAATAAGTATTTTAAAGTATATCAAGGCAAGATTATATTGGAATTGTTCATTCATAGTTAATTGAATGTTGAATTTGCATATTTAAATAGGTAATTCTAAGTTTACAAATGCAAGATAATATAGTCACAATTGATTATAATTGTCAATAAAATAATTGTATAGGTATGGTTGAAACCAAATACGGGACATAAGGGAGCACAAATAAAAATTAGGGCATAAAATATTAAATATATACTAATATTGAAGAGCTAACTACTGATTGCCAAACAAGGACATTGCGAGGTAGTTTCTCACTTCAATTTGTTGTGTGATTTGAATACTCTTTTTGTCAATAAATCCCCCAAATAGTTAATATGATTGAGTTAATTATATATTTTTTTAAAAACAATTATTATTATTATTATTATTATTATTATTATTATTATTATTATTATTATTATTATTATTATTATTATTATTATTATTATTAATATGTATACCCTTAGGTCATTTTGCCAGCTTAGCACACCCAAGTCCGCAGGGACGAGGGCCATGTTAATCTAAACAGCTAATTTTTTAAATATTTTTTTACCAACCATTGATATAATTCGCTGGTCAAATTCGCTAATATAATCTGCTAACTGCTGATTGTCAAACAATGACATTGCGGGTAGTTCTCACTTCAATTTGTTGTGCGATTTGAATACTCATTTTGTCAACGAATCTCTCAAGTAGTTAATATGATTGACTTAATTAATTATATATTTTTTAATTTTTTTCATTGTATTAATAAAATACTTGGTAAATAAATATATAACATTATTTTGTATTATAACTTTGACATTTATTTAAAAATAGTGCACAAAAAAGATAATAGACAATGTAGTGAATATAATCAATTGATGAATTTTAATATAAAGAATTTTTACATTGGAGAAAAATAAAGGCAATATAACTAATAAAATTATTTATCTTAATTAATTTATTGATAATGAATATTTTTTTAAAAAATAAAGACATTGTACGGACAATGTAGTGAATATAATCAATTGATGAATTTGAATGTAAAGAATTTTTATATTATAAAAAAATAAAGACATTATAACTAATGAAATTATTTCTCTTATTTAATTTATTGATAATGATTTTTTTTTTTAAAATAAAGGCATTGTAGACACATAATTATAAAGTAAAGATATACATATGTATTATTTTTTGTTGTAGCTACTAAATTATTATTTAATTTAATAAGAGTAAAATAGAGTACTAATTATGCCAATTGGGATGGTGTTCGAACATAAGACCTTTCTTATTGAAATCAATGAGTAACGGTAAACTAACAGAAATGAACGGAAAAGATAATATTTAACGGAAAAGTTAACAGATAATCATATTCATTAAGGATAAATTAGAAAATCTTAAGGAACAATTAAAATCTGATCAATCTGAGCCATTCATTTGATTATAAAAAATTGACCGCCATTTTTTCTATCCATTATAGGCCTAACTCTTTTGGGCTCTTATTAGTATAGTAGATTTATGAACCTAGAAATTGGTCTAATCTTGATAATAAAACAAAAGATATTTTGGTTGAAAATGGACCTATAAGAGATTTAAATATTATGTTCCTTTAGGTAATAACTCTAGACATTTTTCAAAGTGTCTATCGGATTATATTGCCTATACCCGTGACGGTAGCTTCTGCTGAAAAGAATGTCTCAAAATTAAAATTATTGAAAGCATACCTAAGATCTTCAAAGATTAAATGGATTAGCAATATTGTGTATCGAGAATGATATCTTAGACTATATTAGTCTTGAAGAGGTCATTAATGACTTTGCATCTAGGAGAACATATAGAAATTTTTTTGTCATAATTAGTTTTGTATTAGTATTGTATTTGTAAAATGTTAAAAAAAAATTAAATTTTATTTCAATTTAGTTGACAATAGTATTTTTGTACTCGTATATAATATTTAAAATTTAATTATAAAAATTTATGTTAACTTCTAAATATTGTATTGGGCCCTTTTTATTCCCTTGCCCCGGACCTATAAAACTATCGGACCGGCCCTGCTGACAATAATTCAAATTTGAGATTGTCTTTTTTTCAATGGACAAATTCTCAAATGCCTATATAAGGATGAAGATTTGAAGATTAAAGAAAGCGGTTGAGAGCTACACAAATCCAATCATACAAATTGCAAGAGAAAGCTTACAAAGAAAAATCAAGTGTGCTAAATCTTCATCATTGAGAGACTTGCTACACATTAAAGAATCCATCAAGAAGTCTCAAGTTGGAAGCAAAGAAAATCTTGTTTTTCTACAAACAAGTGGTTTCCCTACTAAAGTGTAGGAAGGAGATTGTCACACGGAGTTGTGAAATCTTGGTTGTATTTCTACAGGAGTGTAGAAAGGGGATAGTAGCATGGAGTTGTGAAATCCTGGTTACAGTGTTGGAGGCACTGGTTTGGACGTGATTAGTGTGGGTTTGGTGATCAAAACACTAGATCATGAAATTCATTGTATCTTGTAACCAAGGAGTGGTAAATTTATAGTGAATTCCTCCTGAAGATAGGAGAGAGTGGAGTAGGAGGATTACATCACCTCCGAACCACTATAAATTCTTGTATCATTTATTTCTTTATTTATTTATCTTTGTATGCATGCACCTCACGTGATATTCACTTAACACAATTAGTCCCTGATATTATTTAATTAAAAACTTTGTTAATAAAATTTTATTTTATAAGATTATAATTGTCAAATACTCTCCACCATTAAACTTTCTTCTCTCTCATGCATTAACGTACGTCATCTGTGTTCGATAATCAATATCCTAAATACGTAAAATCATCAGTGAGATTCGAGAAGAACTCGGTTTGGGAGGTTATTGATGATATTAAGCGTTTGAAGTTTCGGTAAACGTCCAAAGCTCGCCGGAATTTCTTGGGAAAAATTTGTTCCCACCAAGGACGAGCGCGAACTCCGTCAGAAGCTCCGGCAGGTCTCCGACAAACAAGTTCAAAGACAAGTCCAAACTCTCTAGATGCGAGCACAAGGAGAAGGAATCCGACGAGAAAATCCACGAAGTTGTTATTGGTAAGATTGAGAGCGCGAAGAGTAGAAATCCGACAACGGTCCGCCGGAGAGGACGAAGTTAGATAAGTCAATAGAGACGATAACTTGACTCGGAGCAAAATAGCTGCATCGCGGTTCAAGGACCTTACCATGGAAACAAAACCATGAAAAACATTAAAAAACTTCAACTTCGAAAAACCCATGAGATCAAATGGAACTGTGTTGGGCTATCTTTGATGGAAGAGAAGAGTGTTAATTAGAGTAAATTAATTGATAATATCAACCTAAAAATAGCAGGTGGGAGGAGAACATACAGTAATATGAATGAACAGGCTTGCATCTTTAAATTTTGATGTACAAGGAATTGTCAGAGAGTAAAGAAATTTTTGCTTTTGACTGTTTATGAGTTAAGATTGTTACAAATCAAATGTTTGATTAAGATGGCATACATTAAAAAGAGAGAAGGAAGTCTAATGGTGGAGACGGGAGAGTATTTGACAATTATAACTTTATAAAATAAAATTTTATTAACTAAATTTTTAATTATTAGCATTAGAGACTAAAAGTGTCACATTATGAACAATTGAAGGATTAAATTTGTTCAAATCAATTGACAGGGACCAAATCTCCAATAGTAAAACAATTCAGGGGCCAAAACTTTCGTTTTTCCTTTTATTTATTGACGTTTTAGCAATTTCGAATTTGGTGAAAATGGTATAAACGTCTATTCACCCCCTCCCCCTCTAGATTTTTATCTCATCTCTTTTGGGACCAACATTATTATAATGAATTAATGTATATATATACTTCAATAAATATAATGTCTTATATAAATGCATATATATAATTAATTATTAATTATATTTTTAATATATAAATAAATAAATAAATAAATATATATATATATATATATATATATATATATATATATATATATATATATATATATATATATATATATATATATATATATATATATAGAAGAGCGCTCATATGCGGCGGGGTCTTACGGTGCGGCGGTGCGGTCAAATTTCAGAATACACCAACAGAACAATATGCACCAACAGTGTAATAAAAACGCACCCCAATGAAATGTAATAAAACATCACAAAATACACCACAGACTTAAAAAAACACACCATATAACTCACCACCCCCAATGGTGTATTTCCGAACAGTGTATGGTGTTTTTACTCACACCTAATGGTGTGTGTTTGGTGATGCAGGGCTCTGTTTACTCTGTTTTGTGTGGTGTATTTCCTAACGTTGATGGTGCATATTTGGTGAACTATTGGTGTTGCCGCACCGTAAGAAATAACCGCACCTGAACCCGCCTATATATATATATATATATATATATATATATTAACAAACAGGTATTTTCAATATTATAGTACAAAAGTTATTCTCAAGGTATTTGGGAATAGTTAATCCAAGCTATTCTCCCGACAAAGATCATGAAGCCATTTTGGAATATTTTTTTCCCAACAATAATCAAAGTCTATGAGTTAATATCAAATTTAGTTCACAACTATTAGTTTTTCTTGATTTAGTTCAAAATATCTTTTTTACTTAATTAGATCTTCGCCTTTAATGATTTTCCCTAATTTAGCCTTATGTTAAAATCAAATACTAAATCGAGAAAAACTATTATAGTTGATGACTAAATTGAGTATACACTATAATCGAAGACTAATTTGAGTAAAATCACTATAGCCGAAGACTAAATTGAGTATTAACTCAATCCATTATCAACTAAAGTCTAAGAATGGGGCAAGACAATGAGCACAAAATGAGCATTCCATTCTTTGATACCAAACATTGAAGTACACTCTGAGAAGTTCAGGATATCAGATTCCTTTCAAAATGCAAAGGTAAAAGTAAAAGACGAAACAAAGAAAAGTGGAAAAGAATAATAAATGCTCAGGGAGCACACTAGAGCTACAGAGTGCCATTTCCTCACAAACACTGGTATTTAGGAATAAATTGGGTGGTGAAATTCAAAGGCTCATTTGGCACTGGCAAGCTGGGTCCGGATGAGCTTGGCAGCAGAAACCATGTTCTCAAGAGCTGGCTTCACTTCTGTGTACTTGCGAGTCTTGAGACCACAGTCAGGGTTGACCCACAAGATGTTTGTGTCAAGGACTGCAAGCATCTTGTTAACTCTGTCTGCAATCTCTTCGGTGGACGGTATTCTGGGGGAGTGGATGTCGTACACACCCGGTCCGATTCCAGCACCATACTTCACTCCTTCACGGAAAACTGAGAGGAGCTTCTCATCAGAACGGGAGTTCTCAATTGTGATAACATCAGCATCCATGTCAATGATGGAGTGGATGATGTCGTTGAAGTTTGAATAGCACATGTGAGTATGGATCTGCATCACACAGTGGAGTGGAAGGTCTCATGAAAAGTGTATAATAGCCACAGATTTCTAAATGCAAAAAAGGTGTGAAGAATAAGAATGGGCACCTGGGTTGTGTTTTGGACACCGCAGTTGGTGATTCTGAATGAGTGGACAGCCCAGTTCAAATAGAAAGCATGTTCCGCCTTCCTAAGAGGCAAACCCTCTCTCAAAGCAGCTTCATCAATTTGAATGACATTGATGTTTGCCTTCTCCAAATCCTCTACTTCATCCTTAATTGCCAAAGCAATCTGGTAGCAGGTTTCAAATCTGTAAACAGATCAACACAAGATTAGAATAGACCCAGAATATCATAAAGAGTACTTGCGTTTTTCGTATCATCACCTTGGTTGGTCATTTCTAACAAAGGACCAGTTGAGAATGGTAACAGGGCCAGTAAGCATTCCCTTCATTGGGCGCTTGGTCATGCCCTGAGCAGCACTAGACCAGAAGACAGTCATGGGTTTGGGCCTGCTCACATCACCGTAGATGATGGGTGGCTTCACACAGCGAGATCCATAAGATTGAACCCATCCATTGGCAGTAAATGCAAACCCAGAAAGTTGCTCCCCAAAGTACTCAACCATATCATTCCTCTGTACATTGAATATCCAAATTTAGTGGAAACTTGTTAATAAGCATCTGAGAGCAAAAGTGGAACAACAAAACAAGGTTTGTTCCTTCCCATGAAATAAGATAATGTGTACTGCTATAACAATATGCAGCTAAAACCAAATAGGGCTCACTGACCTCAGGCTCTCCATGAACCAGAACATCAATGTCCAGCTCTTCCTGGAGCTTAACAACTTTGCTAATTTCTTCCTTGATGGCCTTAACATACTCCTCCTCAGAAATCCTACAAAAGAAGTGGCAAATCAGAAGAAAGTTTCGAGTCACCTAATGATGAGAAAAAAAAAAAAAAATACTCACTTGTTGGCCTTGTATTCACGGCGAACCCTTCTAAGTTCCACTGTTTGAGGGAATGAACCAATAGTGGTGGTTGGAAGAACTGGGAGGTTAAGTTTCTTCTGTTGTGCATCAAGCCTGGCACTAACATTTGTAGCACGGCGGTGGTCAGATCCCTTCAAAGCAGCAGCCTGATAAAACAAAAAGAGAATAAAATGATAAGGCATTGTAATTATTCAGTTGTACTGCAAATAAGAGGGGAAAAAAAAATAGAGAATTAGAAGAAGGAACTTCAATTCATCACTTACCGCCTTTTGAACAGATTCATTTGTTACTCTTGGGGAGGATTTTCTTGAAGCTTGAGCTGCAGCATTAGCAGAGAAAAATGCCTGGAAATAAAACAATATGAGCACCCAAGGCCAGTATGTGGCATACAAATTAGAAAGCAGACAAGCAAGAACAGATTGTATCCAGTTGTTCTGACTTGCATTGACATCACCATTTACATTTCAAAAATATTTTAGTTACAGAACGAGTAACTAATGGAATTATACCTCATCCTTTTGACCACATAATGCCTTGGCTAAAGCATTCACTTCAACAACTTTTTGGGCAGCAAAAGCAAGCCATGATTTGATTTCATTGTCCAGCTTGGTTTCATTCACAAGATCAACAGCAGTGTGAAGAAGAGAGCAAGAAGTGGAGACAACAAGCTTATCTGCAATTTAGTTAACAAAAAGATTGATTTTTTGTAATAATAAAAAAAAAAAAAAAAAAAAAAAAAAAAACAATAATAACACAACAAACATTGCAAAGCATACCTTTCCCAACAATGTCCTCAAGAGATTTCAGAGTGCTGAGGGATCCAGCAAGATCATTTGCCCAAATGTTCCTGCCATCAACAACTCCAGCAAACAAGTACTTGCCCGAAGGAAAGCCACCCTTAATCAAATCAATGCTCTTAGTTCCACGGATCAAGTCAAAACCAAAAGCAGTAACTCCCTTCAAAGCAGTAAGGGTTTTGAATGCTTCAGCAGGAATATCAGCAAAGTAGGTCTCAACAAGAACATTAAGGCCACCAAAACATGACTCCAGCTCAGCATAGGCCTTGGTGAATGCTTCCAACTGGTGAGATTCAAGATCCATCACAAGGTTGGGCTCATCAAACTGGATCCAAGAAGCACCAGCACCCTTCAATTCAGAAATAACTTCCCTGAAAGTGAAGTAAAATTGGTGTTATCAAAAGCCAGTGGGACAACATCACCACTTGAAGGAATTCATAACAAAAAGTTCAATACAGAAACTGAGATCTCTTACTTGTAGATTGGAAGGATCTTGTCAAGGAGAGACAAAAGAGGGAAAGATTTCTCAACTCCCTTGGCAGGTTTGGATAGCAACAAGTATGATACTGGACCAACAAGAACTGGGACAGTTTCAACACCAAGCTGCACCAATGAAGGTGGAATTCAATCAATTATCAGCAAACTAATGACAATGAAAGGCTCAAAGCACAAGTGCATGAAACATTTATTCATCAATATTGTTATGAAGCACTAGATCGCAGCTGCAGATCACATACCGCCTTAGCCTCCTTGTATTCGGTCACTGCTTTGTGGGAAGCATAAGAGAATTTGACATCAGGACCCAACTCAGGGACAATGAAGTGGCTGGATCAACAAATGGACTAAGTAAGTTGACATGATTAAAAGGGAGGGACCTCATAATAAAGAGAATTTAGAATTGGCCCAGATCACTTACTAGTTGGTATCGAACCACTTGGTCATTTCCATGGCAGGGACAGAGGCATTTCCTCTGGCCATGGAGAAGTAAGTATCAAATCCAATCTCACCGCCAGCCCAGTTGTACCTTGGGGGTACAGCACCGAGCATGGCAGTGGTGTCGAGCACGTGATCATAGTAAGAGAAAGTGTTGCTGGGAATGAACTTGATCCCAGCATCAGCCATCTGTTTCCATATGGATGCCCTGAGGTCAGCTGACACCTTCTGCAGATCCTCAGCACTGCTCTTCCCATCCCAAAAAGACTCAAGAGCAAATTTGAGCTCTCTCTTCGGGCCCATACGGGGATATCCAACAATGTGAGATGCCATTTTTTCTGTTCTGTTTTCCAATAACCGTCATTCAGTTTCAATTGCAAAAACATAACATATCACCCTGATCTACTCTAAACCTACATACAACTTGTTCTGATTCTAGACAAAGAATCATATATAGTTATATACCATCTTTTCTTTCATTATGCAATCACATGGGTGTGCTGCTATAGCAATTAATAGGCCCAGAATGCCAGGCACAAAACAAGCAAATGACAATCCACGTATGCATTGAATCCATGGATCAGAATAACAATTACTTAGATCTATCAATTCAAAGGCTCAGATCTATAATGGGATGAACAATCACAATGGAGGCAGGCAGGCACGTCACAATAATTAACAAAAATACAAAGTAGCCATTAATGATCAGATTTATTCACACACAAATGACATTAATCCAGATCTATAACTATCCATTTCAGGATTAACTTGTAACCTCTCAGATCTACTATCGGATCCTCGGCCAACAAGATGAAATTCAAGATAGCATATACTTCCACAGTCATGTGATACTAAAAGTCAAAAAAGGACAAGAAAACAACAGATCGCACAAACAGAGATCCTCCTCACCTACGTATAGATTAGCTTATTAGCTTAAATTAGATGAAGAACAAGCGTAAATGAGTGAGAGAAAACGAAAAGCTAGTACTAATCTGCAGTTTTTATGAGCTATATAAAGAAGCTAGTGGTGACGAATGCTAGAAATATTTCATCATGATTCATGAATACAATACTAGCAGTTGCAACATATATAGTGCAAGAAAGGAGTGGCAAGAGAGCAAGGGGGAGGGGGGGGGGGAGGGGGGGGACAGAGAACGACACGAACGAACCAGCATACCTTTAAGGGAAAAGAGGAAGCTGTTCGTTCACAGATACGGAGTAGAAGAGAAGGGGCCGACGCGAGTATGAAGGCGGGGGAGAGTGGGTATTTATAGGAAGATGCCCGGAATGGGGTTGGTAGATCTGATAATATTCACCATAATTCTCATCTGTTGACTAAATTTTATCCAATTAAATTGCTGCTCGGTAAATCTGTTTGGACTTTGGAGTAATCCCATATTCTGCTCCATTTCTGTTAATAATTATAGCTACCTCAGTGGTTTAGGTTTTTGCTTGATTTTTACAGAGGCATGTACGAAAGAGAGAAGGTGAAAAATTTAGGAAATAAATAAATAAATAAAATAAAAAAACAAATTTTGACAAAAAAGAAAAAGAACAAAAAAGAAAAACATTCTCTCATGTTTTTCAATTAAGAATGGCAACGGAACAGGACGAGAGCGAGGAGCATACTCTCCGTTCCCGTCCTAATTCCTGGCGGGAAATTGAAAATAATCCCTATTCCTATCTCTATGGGGAATTAGACGGAGACAACGATTCTTCATATCCGGTTACTGTATTTTTAATTTTAAAAATTAAAAACCCTAAGTTTAATATATATATATATATATATATATATATATATATATATATATATATAGAGAGAGAGAGAGAGAGAGTTACACTCCCATGCGAATGGATTGCCTAGGAGTGAAATATGAATGGTTGTTGTCCGTCTACGTGTCCAAATCTAATGGATGAGAAACACTGATTTTTAAAGTGTAAGTAAAATGTATTATAAGTGTAAGTAGCAGTTTCATATAGTGCAAGTAAAATGTATTACAAGTAGGGCCGATCGATTTTTCCTTTTTTTTTTTTTTTTTTTTTAATAATAGTTTTACTAATGTATTAATTAAATGGTTAAAGTGAGATTTGAACTCCTAACCACCAACTTAAAAAGCAAGAGCTTTATCCTCTAAGCTATAAACTCATTTACTAAATCTTCAATATGAATGAATATATACAAATCCATTTCCTTTTCCTTCTTTCAACTCCATTCTTCATTCATACTATTTGTTATTATTACTAGTATTTTCTTATGCGCGATGCGCAAAAATTAGGTGCCCAATATTAGTATTTCATATTAAGATTTTTAATATTTAAATTATTATAAATAATAATAATAATAATAATAATAATAGTGTAAACATTTTTATACATTTGATATTTATATGGTAGGAAATAACTCCAAATTATAATGTATAAATATTATTATTATTATTGAATAAGATAAGAAAATATATGGTGGATGCATGTGCATGGTAACAATAGTGGAAAAGATAACGGAAGTTATAACGGTAGGGATATGTTTGTCCAAAATATTATAAAGTACAACCTTTATAGCATAATGTATAAAAAAACTTAACGGAAAAAACGGACATAAATAAATGGTATAACTTTCATTCACACTTATTATGTTTTTAGATTATTATTATTATTATTATTATTATTTATTATTAAAATCATTATATAATTACTTTAATTTTGATTATATTTTAATTAAATTTCTATAAATAGTAAATCATATGTGTGTGTGCACGCACACGCACCAATATATGTGACCGATTACTAGATTAGTATTATAGATATTTTATTTATTTATTGTAAAAATAAAATATAAATTATATCAAAATTGTTTACATTATTTATAAAAAAAAAATTAATTTGGTTCATCTATATAGTTTTCAAATACGATGATTAAAATTTACTACTTTAAGGAATTGTGAAATATAATTTGAAGTATAACTTGTAATTATTTGCATTTATCAATTTTTTAATGTTGGACATAAATTTTCGCGCATTTATCAATTTTTAATTATTAAATATTATAATAATTAATAACCTCAATTCCTCATACCTCAACTCTAAGTCGTAAGTCCCAACATTTGGTGTTTTAATAATTCTTATTTTTCAAATATTAACTATGCAAATGGATGATTCTTTATCTTGTCATCAACAAAACACTTTAAGTGACACTCGAAGTGAGCCAACTGAACAATCAGTCACGCAAAAAAGGAAACGTTAAAATAGTGGACTTATACCAAAATCGAACCGAATACTGAACCGAACTTTTTCTAACCGAACCGAAACCGAACCGAATGATTTAATTTTTTTGAAACCGAAAAAACCGAACCGAAACTCGAAACGCTCAGCCCTAATTACAAGTGCATGTAAAATGTATTATAGGTGCAAGTAAAATTTACACTGATCATCAAAACTAAGTGCACATGACGTTATAACTAGGTGCACATATAGTTATAAGTAGTTGCACCTAGGTGCAGGAATGTTTGCGGGTGATTTCACGGGTACTAACTACCCGTTGAACTCCCCGCAAGAACAAAAGAGATGCGAAACAGAACGAACTCAGATCAATGAATGTTAACAAGCAAAATTACATCCACTTATAGGTGAAAGTAGACGCACATGTAAGTGATTTTACCTGTAATTTTTACTTGCAAAGGTGCACTAACTACTTGCACATATAACACATTTACATGCACCAAAGTTTGAGTTATTTACAAAAATGCCACCGCATTTATATCTGATTCGTTGATATAAACACGTGGAAGGTGCTGATCTATTCGTATTTCCTTCCTGGGCATGTATATATATATATATATATATATATATATATATATATATATATATATATATATATATATATATATATATATATATATATATTAAGGATCAAATGAGGACTCATCCTTAGATGAGGACGTGAGTCTTGTGCGTTTGTTTTTTTTTTTTTTTTTTTTTTTTTTTTTTTTTTTGGATTGCCCTGATATGAGTTCCTAAGATGACATGAATTGATTTTTTTGTTAAAGTGGGGTAGTAGTGTCTTTTTCTATTTTTTTAAAAGTGTGAACGCATGTGTAATCCTTAGCCTAATTGGTTTCCTATTTTCTTGGATCATCACCGTTGTAATTTGGAGCCGCGATTTCTTCATCATTGACCGAGCGTTCGCCAATGCAAACTAATTAGTATTTTTTTTTTCACTTGTTCTTTTGAGTATAATATTGTCTATATTTGGATGGTCATGTATATGTACAAATGCCTGGGTAATACGATTGTACAATCGTGTGTGCTGATTGTGCAACCACCGTAGGCTACGGAGTTGTGCATTATTGCACATAGTTCAGTGCATCGTAGGACATTGGGATGTCCACTAAATTTTTTTGGTGGGGTTTGAATGCACAACAATAAAGTTATCACTGCACAACACTCAGTATAGGAATGCACATCTTTTAATAAGACTAATTTACCCTAAATTTATATATTTTAATATTCTAAAGGGATTTATTTTCTTAATCCGTGTGATTTGTTCATTTTAATCTCAGCCATACATCATTCTGATTTTATGGTCTAGGTTCTACCAATTACTACTTACGTGACTTCAAAAAAGAATATATTCATGAATGTCTTCACGAAGTTTGATTTATAACTATGAGACTAAGACAGTCAATGCTGTCGATGAGAAATGTATAAATATATTAGATAAACTGTAAGTTACAATTATATACACAGTGGATTATATACAAGAGGAATCATAGGGAGACTATGACAGAGAGTCATACTATTACTCAAATACAAAGAGTTCTAATAGTAGTCCTAATACCCCCTCAAGCACATGATATACTAGTAACATGTAGCTTGTCTCTAAGAAAAGAAAACCTAGGACTAGGTATAATGTTTTAGTAAATATGTCTGCAAGTTGATCTTTTGTTGAGATGAAATTGACTTGAATTTCTCCAGCAGCAACTCTATCTCTCACAAAATGATAGTCTATCTCTTCGTGTTTGGTGCGCGCATGAAAGATGGGATTAGCACACATATACATAGTCCCAAGATTGTCACACCATAATTTAGAGACAGAAATACATAGAACATGGGTTTCTCGCAAAAGTGACCCAATCCAAATTACCTCAGCACAAACATCTGCTAGAGCTTTATATTCAGTCTCAGTGGAAGATCTAACAACAGTTCTTTGTTTCTTACATACCCAGGACACAAGATTAAAACCAAGAAACACAGCAAAGCCACTTGTAGATTTTCTATCCTCCGGACAGCCAACCCAGTCAGAATTAAAGAAGGCATGAATTTCCCTTGAAGATGACTATCTGACTCGTAAACCAAAAGTAACAGTTCCTTTAACATACCTCAAAACTCTTTTTAATTAATTGCTCCCAATGAGAGACTGTAGGAGCATGCATGTGTTGACACAACTGATTGACTGCAAAGGAAAGATCAGGACGAGTGATAGTTAAATACTGCAATGCACCAGCCAAACTCATGTACTATGTAGGATCTTCATGTAAGATTGTATCAATGCCCACGGCTTTTGAAGTAGAAATAGGAGTAGACAGTGCTTTACATTCTGCCATTCCAGCACGTTTTAAAATGTCATTCATGTATCTCTGTTGTGAAAACAAAATTCCATCATTGCATTTAACTGTCTCAATTCCAAGAAAAAATCTAGGTTCACCAAGATCTCTAATTTTAAAAACAGTAGAAAGTTTTGATACTAACTGAGTAACTAGATCCTGATCACTCCCCATCATAAGTATATCATCTACATAAACTAACAGATATACACATTCAGATCCCTGTGAGTAGTAAAACAAGGACACATCTGTTTTGATGCCTCAAAACAAATAGATAGTAAGAAGGTGTGCAAACGATTAAACCAAGCCCTGGTGCTTGTTTTAAACCGTAAAGAGACCTTTTTAGTAAGCAAATATGATTTGGATACTGAGCATTAATATAACCAGGTGGTTGCTTCATGTACACAGTTTTAGATAAATTTGCATTTAAGAAGGCATTATGAACATCATGTTGC